GCTCATTGCCGATGGTGATGACCTGCCCATCGGGCAGCTCGTAGCTCTTCTCCAAGGAAGAAGAGGAAGCCGCCATGGCCATCTCCTGCTCGAAGTCCAGGGCAACGTAACAGAGTTTCTCCTTGATGTCACGCACAATTTCCCGCTCAGCCGTGGTGGTAAAGCTGTAGGCTCGCTCGGTGAGGATCTTCATGAGGTAGTCCGTCAGGTCCCGGCCAGCCAGGTCCAGACGCAGGATGGCATGCGGGAGGGCGTACCCCTCATAGATGGGCACAGTGTGGGTGACCCCATCGCCGGAATCCATCACAATGCCAGTGGTTCGGCCAGAGGCGGACAGGGACAGCACGGCCTGGAGGGCAACGTACATAGTAGGGGTACTGAAGGTCTCGAACATGATCTGGGTCATCTTCTCCCGGTTAGCCTTGGGGTTCAGGGGGGCCTCCGTCAGCAGCACAGGGTGCTCTTCAGGGGCCACACGCAGCTCGTTGTAGAAGGTGTGGTGCCAGATCTTCTCCATGTCGTCCCAGTTGGTGACAATGCTGTGCTCGATGGGGTACTTGAGGGTCAGGATGCCTCTCTTGCTCTGGGCTTCGTCTCCCACGTAGGAGTCCTTCTGGCCCATGCCCACCATCACGCCCTGGTGCCGAGGGCGCCCCACGATGGAGGGGAAGACAGCCGGGCGTCGTCGCCCGCGAAGCCGGCCTTGCACATGCCGGAGCCATTGTCGACCACGAGTGCAGTGATGTCATCACCCATGGTGAGCTGGGGGTGGCGGGTGTGAACCGGCGGCGGTGACTATGCAAAGGGGCCTGTGCTTCGGGGCGAACGAGGTGTCGGCTGTCTAGTCCATATTTTTGAAGTAGTTCAATACTCTTTGCCAATACAAAATCCAAAGGCAGTTCTTAAGTCTTTCTTATTCTTTATCCAACTTTCACATATATATGAAACAACTAAAAATATCTTGGCTTGGGTAAGACATATGCTAATTTTTTATAGGTCTGGGACATATGCTAATTTTTAAACTGACATTTTTACTCTTTAGCCCTTTACAGAGGTCCTTTGCAGCAGATTTGCCCAATGTAATGTATGGTTTGCTTTCTTGACTGCTCCTTCTGTAGGTTTTGATTGTGGATCCCAAGGAAAATGAAATGTTTGCATTTGATCTAACCCCTTTCAACCCATTCTTAAATTTGAGCTGTCTTGCCTGGAATTTGTTCTGGAAATGATTTTCGAATCTTTCTTATCTTTTCACTTCAAACTAGAAATATTCTCACTTCTACACCAAATTATCCTTCTAGAATCTTAGCTCAAACATGATTCTCTTGTTTCTGCCAAACCAAAGGGGGCGGGCAATGGTCTTGAAACTGAGTCTAGAAACCTAACATAAATTAACTAACAATGTTGAAAGAATGAGATGATGTTTCAGTTGCTATCTAGCTGGTTCTGACTTGGAGCAATTCTACCTACAACAGAATCAAACTCTGCCCAGTCCTGCACTCTCCTCTTAAACTCTGTCTAGTCCTGCACTCTCCTCTCAATCACAGCTTTCTCTGAGCCCACAGTATACACTGTGTCAATTCATTTCATGAAAGGTCTTCTTTTTTTCCCTGACCCTATACTTTAACAAAGAGTGATGTCTTTCTCTAGGGATTGGTTCTCATATTCAACTTTGCTTCTAAGGCACCTACCTCTGATTTCACTTCAAAGAGTAAAAATTAAGGAATTATATACAATGTAATGAAGGATTGTATAAAACAAAATGTACATGCATGAAATACAATGTATAAGATTGATTGTAAACAAATCAATAAAAATATGCAATAAACAAGAACAATTACAAAATAATTAATTAAAAACGTTGTTGTGGTGGTTATGTGCTGTCAAGCAGCCTTGCAACTCATAGCAACCCTATATACAATAACGCTGAACCCTGCTCTATCCTGAACCAACGTCATTGTCTCTGATACACCTATCTCCATTACACCAGTCACTGAGTCAATCCATCTCATCCAGGGTCTTCCTCTTTTGCATTGTCCCTCCACCCTCTCAGGGATGATGTCCCTCTCTAAGGACTGGTCCCCCCCTGCAACATGCCCAAAGTATGTCAGACAGAGCTTCAGAATCCTTGCCTCCAATAAGCAGCCTGGTTTCACCCTCTCCAGGATGAACTTGTTTGTTCTCCTAGCAACCCATGGTATAGTAAATACTATTCTCCTAAACCACTGGTCAAAGGTATCAATTATCTTTCTATCATTGTCCAGATTTTTGATGCATAGCATGTAATTGTAAAGACCGTGGCCAAGATCAGGCACATCTTTTCTCCAGACTGACATTGTTGTTCTTCAGTACTCTGGAGATGTTTCTGTCAGCAGACTTTCCCAATGCAATTTGTCTTTTGATGTCCTGGCTACTGGTTCCAAGAGTGTTGATTGTGGAACCAAGCAAACTAAAATTGTTAGCAATCTCAATCTCTTTACCATCTATCATGATGCTACCAATAAGCCCAGTGGTGAGAATCTTTGTTTTCTTGATACTGAACTTCAATCCATATTGAAGGCTGCATTCCTTGACCTTCTGGAGCAAGTGCTTCAGGTCCTCTTCAGGTTTACCAAAGTTGATTTTCTTCTAAGACAACTTTGTTCCTTTTTCCAGAAGTTCATAGTTTCCTAATCTTAACCAACACCAGAATTCAAAAAGTCTTTAGTCTTCTTTGTTAATTGTCCAGCTTTTACAAGTATATCAGACTCTTAAAGGTGTCATAGCTTGGATTACAAGTACCTTGGTCTTCAAAGTGGTATCTTTACTTTTCAGTACTCAAAAGAGATTTCTTTGCAGCAGATTTTCCAAATGTAATATATTGTTTGATATCCTGACTGCTACTTTCATGGCATTGACTGTAGGTATTGATAGAATTAAATCTTTGGCAATTTAAATATTTTCTACATTTATTATGATGTTGGTTTTGGTCCAGTTGTCAATGTTTGCAAGATATGAGTATAGTTCAATAAAATTAAGGGTGCATTAATGTTGTAACTATACTAATTACTGTTTTTTAGGGAAAGTTAGAAATACTATTTTGGGTTCATAATTGTAACCACCACCAGATTTAAATAATTTATAAAATTGAAGGAAATCATCAAAATAATTAAGAAAATTAAAGTAAACGAGATAGTGTCTATATCACAGGCAGTAAACAAAGGGGAAAAGGCCAAGCCAACAATTAAATAGCAAGGTAGGAAAAAGCAAACATAAATTAAAATATCAAATTATATGTTATGGTAAAAATGTAAACCAGTTGCCATTCCCAAATAAAATGCAAAGATTATCTGCTTCAGTTTTCTGGAGAAATACCAAGAAAATAGCAACCAGAAAAACTCAAAACAACTCATTTGACTTAAAAAGATACACTTGAAAAGACAAGTATGAACCTCTAACTAAATAAGATTGATTACCACATCATTTAAATTTCTTCTTCTCCTAAAATTTCACACTGGAACATAATCATGATAGAATATGAAACAACAATTAAATCTTAAAAAAAAAAGAGAGAGAGGAAATGATCACAGAGAGAGATGTTAATGAAATTTTACAAGTTAAAATTTAGATCTGTTTAATAGCGACAGTCAGCCTGCATCTCTATAGGGGGCATACAGTCATGCCAATTCATAATGCAGCAAAGCTCAAGAATTGAAAATAGAAGACTTTGTTTTTCCTTTCAGACAGAGAAGAATGACTGAAAATGAAAAGATAGGCTGGAAGTCGGACTGTGAGCCTCAGAAGATCTAGAAGGACCTCTGTTGGCCTACTGGTAAGAAGCTGTGCTGCAATTCCAAAGATACACAGTTTGAATCTACCAGCTGCTCCATGAGAGAAAGATTGGTATTCTCTTTTTATGTGATTTACTCACTTGAGGGTTGGTTCTGATTCAATGATACACAACAACAATAACAACAGCAGAACCAATGATGGGGTGTTTTCAGTTTGCTGATTATTTTGGGCTGGTTTTATTTTTCTTCTTCTTTTTTTATATTTATTGAGCCTTGGTTCACGTCCTGGTTCTTATCCAAGTGAATACAGCAGAGAACAAGGTTCGATGCTCATGGAATAGGCATCTTGGTGGGGAAGATGAAGTCATTAGCAAACAAATAGATAGTACATAAAGGTAAAGGCTTTGGCAGATGATGTGCAGAGTTCAGGGCTCAAGTGGGGAAGGAAGTGAGAAAAGGAATGGGATGCCTAGCTGGGTGAAGGTCAGCTAGCCAGACAGAACAGGAAGTGAGAAAGCCTTGATTTGGGGGTGTGCATGGCATGATCAGAGACCTTGAAGGAGAAGTCTTGGTGATTTTAGAGGTTTTATTTTTCTTATTAATTTTAATGAAAGTTTACAGAGATTTAGGGTTTTCAGCCATTCATTTTTGCACTTTTTTGCCTCCTTCCCAAATTCACTCTTCTCCTTGAAAAGAAAAAAAAAATTCTTTCATTGATATGCAATCCTTCCCCCTAAGTCCACCCCACTATGCAGTCTTCACTCTGGACTTCTGTAATGACAAGAATACCCATTCATATGCCCCTTTTACACAGTTTTCTCCCTCATCTGTTTCAATGCAATATACATCATTCCTCCCCCCCTTTTCTGTCTTCCCTCAACCCTGATGTCAGTTCAGTTTTACAGCAGTGGCCCTATGCAATATTTATCCTTTTGTGACTGCAATATTTCTCTCAGCATAATGTCCTCCAGGGTCATCCATTTTGCATAATATTTCATGAGTTCCTTGTTTTTCAATACTGCATAGTATTCCATTGTGTGAATGTACCAGAGCTTATCTATCCATTTGTTTTTTTGATGGGCACTTGGGTTGTTTCCAGGTCTTTGCTATTGCGAACAAAGCCACAATAAACATGGGTGTGCACATATCTGCTTGGGTGGCAGTAATGGTTTCTTTAGGGTAAATTCCCAGTAGT